GGTTAATATGTTGTGGGGTTGTTAACCAATGTCATAAAACAACATGTGTACTACTGTTTCATGAGAAACTATTTGTTCTGTAAGCCTTCACCTGTACAATAAAATAAAAAAATTAAAAAAAAAGATTCAGCCTTTAATATTTTCATTAATTTGGGCATATATTTGGTTATTAGTCTTTTCTTTACCTACCTAGAGCCAAAGGAATCATTAAAAATAATCTGGTCCAACTCTCTAACTGTATTGGGGGAAATAAACTCCAAAGACATTAAATAAATTTCCAAATGTCACAGAGACAAGTGGCAGAATTTATCTGCACACAAATACTTCTTCAAGCCTCATCCTCATCCTCTACTACATAAATGTGTCCAAATTCATCCGTCAGCCCTGCAGTCTCCCCTAAGCAGCAGCACACCATTTCTAAGAACTAATTATTTTGAAGAATAAACCAAAAACTAATCCCATTGCTGTCAAGTCGATTCCGACTCATAGCAATCCTACAGGACAGAGTAGAAATGCCCCATAGGGTTTCCAAGGAGCAGCTGGTGGACTGAACTGCTGACCTTTTGGATAGCAGTCGAACGCTTAACCACTGGCACCACCAGGGCTCCATTTTAAGAATATGAGTTTTAAATATTAAAATATAACTTTTTAAAAACTGAACTTATTTTCCTTCTCCCAAAGAGGCATCACTTCACCTAACCAATATTTCTTGCTGACTTCTCTATTCTGTTAATGGTGATTCCATTCTTCTCCTACTACTGAAAGAACAGTTACTCTCAAATGTTTTCTCATCTCTATGATTTGTTCAACATCATTTCAAAACCAAATCTGTTGCTGTCGAGTCGATTCTGACTCACAGTGACCCTACACACACTACAAGACAGAGGAGAACTGCCCCATATGGTTTCCAAGGCTGTAATCTTTAGGGAAGCAGATTGTCACATCTTTCTTCCGTGGAGTGGCTGGTAGGTTTGAACTGCTGCCCTGTCAGTTAGCAGCTAAGAGCTTTAACCACTGCGCCACCAAGGCACCTTTCAACATCATTACTCATTAGTAAAATGCAAAATAAGAACTGCAATGAGATACCACTACTCAACCACCAGAAAAGCTTAAATTAAAAAGACTGACCAGGACTTCCTGGAAGATCTCTCATCCCTGAACTGGATCACCAAGGAAAACCACCAGAAACTGATAGACTACTTTTTAACAACTCTGAAAACAGCAGGAGGGTTGCAGCAACTAAGTGAATTAAGAAAAAGGTGACTTTTAAACAGTGGGAAAGCTTTAGTTTTCTACTGCCTGCATCCCTCCCCCTCCCAGCATAGTGGCTTGGCCATCTTAAGGCAGTGGTAGACTGTGTTCTCCATGAGGGGACCTAATCTCTTGCCCTGGAGAATTTAACAGCAGGTGTGTGTATGTGTGTGTGTGTGTGTTTGTGTGTGTGTGTGTGTGTGTGTGTGTGTGTGTGTGTACGTGTATGTGCATCTGATCTGTTCTGGGGAGCTTCCTAAAGTACTGAAGTGAGATGCTCCTCTTGGTTTGGCCTGCCTTGAGCTCATATGGGCTTCCGGGGGGGTGGTGGACAATGCTAGAAGGGTGTGATCACTCATAGCTACCTGGAGCTAAACAGTGCCATTGAGGCATAAAATTGACACCTAATGGCTGGAGGAGGAGTTGAAGTGAGAGTTTCTTTCAAAGAAATTAGGGCTTT